TGTGGCTGTCCCCAGCGAGACACAGGCCTCTCTTGCCTGCCTCCATTGCATCCCCTCCTGCCTATTGTACGTGGTTTGGGCCTGCTCCTGTTTAGCAGCCGAAACTTCGTTTCTCTTTGCTGTCACCTTCTTGCGCCCCTGACCCGTTGGGTGACGTCCCCCAAAAGATGCAATAGAGGAAATGTTTGTGGGTGGGGAAAGGGAGAGAAATGAGTTTTGATTCATATAAAAAAAGATTATTTTTATACTTTTTTCCAGCAGAAGAAAATTGCCTGTAATATTTGTACAGTTTTTTTTTTCCTGAGTGAATAAACGAACTTTCCAAAACTTTCTGCCTATCGTGTTGTCATAAGAAGGCATTTCATTCCCTCCATGGCACATCCGCCATCTTGCGATGCCAAGGGCTTGGACTACAAAATGTCCCGAGCGGAGATGGCTTAAGGCTTGGCATCTGACTGCCAGGGTCTTCTTTTCAGGTAGCCTCTTTGTGTCCCAGGTGGGTTTATTAGTAGTACTTGAGAATGAAAGGCGGGAGTAGAATAAATCCTGGCTGCCACGTAAGGACCCGTATAAAGATAAAAGAACTGCCACCTGCTTGGATTGAAATAATTACACAAGCCCTTAAAAAGGACTCCAGAGTTGATCTACTGAACACAGCACTAGATCTGGGGTCCAATTTGGTGTAGGGTCAACAATAAATCAGCAACCTCTAGAAAACAGACAAATGAGGCTTTTACTACACTCCTTGTCCCTGAGTGATGGAGAAGGAAGAGTCATTGTATCCAGAACAAATCAAGCGGAAGAGACAGCGGCAGGATAAATACCCTTGCCCACTTGTTCTGGATGCAAGAGTGTTCTGGCTCCATCACCCAGGGACAATAAAGGATTCCAAATACATTGTAATTCCTCTCTTAACTCCTCTGTGGTTTAGCAAAACCCACATAATACCATCAGTTTCAGTGATGCTGTCGAAGAGGTGTCGTCTAGAGCAACTCGCTTCCAGAAGTTGTGAATGCTGCAGCACTAGGAAGTTTTTAAGAAGAAATTGGACAACCATTTGTCTGAAATGGCATAGGCTTTCCTGACTGAGCAAGGGGTTGGACTAGAAGACCTCCAGGGTCCCTTCCAACTCTGTTGTTCTATCCTTTTGTTTTTGAATCGGGATAAGTGTCTGCCTCACCAATGCCTCTGATTCCCATGTTTTTTTATGGGCATCGTCGAAATCTACAGTTGTCTAGGACTGGAAAAAGCCAGAATTGGAATTTGCTCTTACAAATTGCTGACTGACTTAGGAATCTCCACGCTCATGGACAGTTGAGACTCTAGAAAAAGTGCAGAGAAGAGCAACCAGGATGATTAGGGGACTGGAGGCTAAAACATACAATGAACGGTTGCAGGAACTGGGCTTGGCTAGTCTGGTAACGAGAAGGACCAGGGGAGACAGGAGAGCAGCCTTCCAATATCTGAGGGGCTGCCCCAGAGAGGAGGAAGGGGTCAAGCTATTTTCTAAAGCACCCGAAGGCCAGACAAGGAACAATGGATGGAAACTGAACAAGGAGAGATTTAACCTGGAAATAAGGAGAAACTTTCTGAGAGTGAGAACAATCAACCAATGGACGAGCTTGCCTTCAGAAGTTGTGGGAGCTTCATCACTGGAGTCTTTCAAGAAGAGATTGGACTGCCATCTGTCAGAAATGGTGTAGGGTCTCCTGCTTGGGTGCAGGGTTGGACTAGATGATCTACAAGGTCCCTTCCAACTCTGATTATCTGTTAAATCTGTTTCTCCTGAAGTGGAAATCCCAGAACTGGCGCTCATCAACTGTGTAAGGTTTCGCATCAGGCAAGGACCAGAGCACCATCATGGAAAAATGGAACGGATCCAGTATGGGATTGGGAAGACTGGAGAACAAGTTAGAGGATGGTGGCAAGAAGGGGAGAAGTTCTTTGTAAGACATGTGAAAGCCCTCCAAAGAGACGATGAATGAAGTCTGCGGAAGGCCTGTGACTGGCACCCAGCAAGCCAGCTGCTCCTCTTTTTCCTCGGCCAGCCAGAAGCCAGGTCTGTTGGCCAGCCTAAATAGTTGCCAGGGATTGTGGCTCAGCATCTTCTGACCAAGGACTAAGAGTGGGACTTCCCCTAAGGAGACTTCATCGTAGTACAATTCCAGGAAGGAGCAGAATGGAAAGCTTGGGGGGAAAGGAGAGGGGGGGCTATCCTGGAGAATGGTCCTCAGCTCTTTGATGCAGCTGTGGGCTCGCTGGACTGACCCTCGTCCGAAGGTTTAGGTAACCCACTGAAACAAGCCCAAGACTGGGATCATTGGCGGGGACTCAAGTCCAGACTTTTCATTTCTTTAAAATTTCATTGTAATGTATGCTGATTAGCGTACATCCAAAGTGACAATAAAGTTATTCTACTCCTGTTCTGTTCTACTCTTTCCTATTCCATCCCATTCATTTCTATTTCTGTTCCATTTCTATGCTACTCTACTTCTGCTCTATGTTCTATTCCGTTTTATTCTGTTCTGTTCTATTCTTTCCTATTCCATTCTACTTCCTATTCTATTCTCTCCTTCCCATCCCATCCCTATTCCGCTCCATTCATTTCTATTTCTGTTCCATTTCTACTAGTCTATTTCTCTTCTTAGTACATTCTATTCTATTTTATTCTGTTCTGTTCTATCCTATTCCACTCCATTCATTTCTATGTCTGCTCTATATTCTATTCTATTCTGTTTTATTCCTTCCTGTTCCATTCCACTCTATTTTCTATTCTATCCTCTCCCATCCCATCCCCTCCTATTCCACTCCATTCATTTCTATTTCTGTTCCATTTCTACTAGTCTATTTCTGTTCTTAGTATATTCTATTCTATTCTATTCTGTTCTGTTCTATTCTTGTTCTGTTCTTTCCTATTCCATTCATTTCTAT